GAAGAGTCCTTTTGGCCAGAACCCAGAGCACTAGATAGTAGCAGAACAATGTCCTCTGGAAATGCAGTGACAGATAACGATGTTGAGGATCACTATTGTGGGCCGAGGAACAAGAAGCCGGATTCAGCATTCAATCCAGTACAGGTTTGCAAAGGAATGGTCGTGCTTGTCAGACCTAGTAATAAAAAACAAATGATATGGGTGGGGCGCTGCATCACTGATGTAGAGGAGGACGCGGAAACTAACTCCTTCAATGTAACTGTGGAGTGGTTCAAGCCAAGTTCCGGATATACGAAGGATTGCCTAGAAAAGAGATGGGTGCTGAATCCAAGGGATCCCAGCATGAGCATATCGGTGGATAATGTTGTGCATGGTTGGATGCGGAAGCAGAGTGCCACCATCACCTTGCCAGACCATGCAAGAGATGCAGCAAGAGCATTCATAACCCGGGTTCAAGGTGAGATTCATTAATATTCCTTTACTAAGTTTCTAATGTATTTTATTTCAAGGTGAACAATCCGAATCTGAATCAGAGGAGGCATGATGGCATGTGGCCTTACGCCATTCCTAGGTGAGATGATACAAATAACAAGTATAAATTCTTAGTTGTTCTAGCAAATCTTACTTAAAGTTCAAGGTGAACAAACCGAATATGAATTCATCAGATTGTTATAACAAATTGCGAGGTGATGGCATGAGGCGATACGCCATTTGAGAGTGGTAGCCATTCCTATATGAGGTGAGTGAAGTATTTATTAGAAATACCTCATTCAATTGTGCACTTCTAAGTCTTGGTCCACTCAGTACTGTTTGCATGTTTTTATTTTAATTCTTTCTCTAAAATGTTATTTAGCATGTGGCTTCATGCCATTGCTCTCCACAATCATGCATTGAATTTTTTTATCCTTGCATAATACTTCTCCATATATATAGCATGTGCGCACATGTGATATGGTTCATTAGGCCTGATATAGTGTGTGAGGTAAAACAAAGATGATGTGACATATGCATTTACCAATCACACGTGTATAAATTTAATAATATGGCATGTGGCCCATATTAATGGCACATAAACCCATATTGTGGGCTTACATGCTTTATGTACCATCATTCCCTTGCAGCGTGTGTGTTGGTTTCCTTTTATAACACAACGAACTCCATATTTTAGGGTGAAGAGCATTCTCATGGCAAGCACAAAATCTGTAAGTGAGGCAGAAAAGGAGACGGAGAAGGAGATAGGTGAAGATGTAGAATATATAAGTCTTCCAAACTCCCCGTACTATACTCCAGGTGATCATTTTTCTGAACAAACGGCAACATTAACAACTATCGAGAACGCCCCAGTAACGTCAGAGACAATAATCCAAAGCAAAACAACTAACCCGGAGAAGGATGATAGTACCGCTGAGAGTACCAAAAAGGAGGTGTCCACTAGCGCTTAGGCTTATAATGGCGTGTGCCCTCATGCCATTTACTTGATCACCAAATACTTTTTTCCCTTTGCACTAGTATATCTTAATACCGGTCTGAGAAATAGAATGGCATGTGCCCTCAGGCCTTTTACTAAATCACCTTTGAAAGAAATGCAAGCCTTTATGTCGTAAAAAAAAGGTACTAGAGAAATTCCTTAATAATATGAATGTTATTTAGTTTCATGAAAATACACTAAGGGTCAAATGAGTTAAATGACTTCTCCAGACTAGCAATGCCTCTTGCTACACCTTCACAATTAGATTCGTTAGAAAAAGATAACATTGAATAATATCTAAATGTTCTCACTATTAAGTTATATGTTTGGCTAATAGGAATGACGTTCATCTTGGAAAGCTCACCACACGCTCAATGAACAAACAAATAGTGTGTGCGCGCATGCCATCGCTCTTCTTTGGCTTCAGATTCGGCTTGTTCACCTTGACAATGAGATTTATTATACAACCAGATGGACTCAGTCTGGACACAAAGTCACCGCGCTAGTCACCATGCCCGAGATATGTCTAGCCCCTGGACAAAAAACATATAATTTCACGTCATTTTCAAATACTTGAAAATTTGTACTTAGTCCCATTTTACTGAATAAATCCCACTTTAACGAAATAGAGCTTATCCCACCGTAGTCACAAAAAGTGAGTAAAGCTTTTTCTACCTATACTCACGTTCTTGCCTTTATCTGCAAAACAGTGATAAACAAATAAAGACAAAAATGTAGAGAAGAGAAGAGAAGAAGAATGAGAAAAGAATAAAAGAGGACTCACCCTCAAACCCCAAAGGCATAAATATGGATAAGTATATATCACTTTTTCAACTCTACTTTGCACAAATAGTCATAAAGGGGAGAAAATATAGTTAATTTAATGCAAATGCATACAACAATGAGTGGGGTTGGATTCCAGCACGTCTAAGTGTTATTTGTATACTATATGATTTTATAACTGTTTCTACGCTTGTCTATGATAAATGTTGCCTAAGTTGGGTGTTTCTTCTTTAGATGTCTAAGTTTATGCGTAACTCTATTTTGTCTAAGCTTCCTTCTTTTATTTTGCCTAGGAAGATACTTAAAATTAAATATTTACCTTTTCAAACAATACTATGAAATATCACATCTTCCACTTGTAATTGCAATTTTCTATTGGAGATAATTTTGTTTCAATGGAGGTTAATGTTAATGTTGCTTGTGTTCAAAGATAAAGTTGAAAACGTGGTTATGATATTTGTTATTGGACGTGTAATGAGATTGGCCACACATATCAACATTATTAGCATTTCTTGGATTAGCATCTTCCATTTCTTGAGTGGAGAGGTGGGCGTTAATAATGTCTTGTAATGCTGCAGTTAATTCATTATTGAAGTAGAAGAATTTGGTTGGTCATACTACTCGATGCACTTTGAAGTTTAAAATAGATAACTTTGAGATCTATAGCTAATGCTAATGCTTTTTTTGAACTCCTCTCCCTTTTCGTGTTCTCAACAAGTCTATTCTTTTAGCATTAATGAATTTTATTTTATAAATAAGGATTTTATACCATTGGCAATTATTGTACTTAATGTTTAGTGTCCACAAAGTGTAGAGCTAAAATTATTTTCTCTTGATAGGATTTATGAGGCTCAAAGATTGAACTGTGGATTCAAAAGTTTCATTATAGATTTAAGAATTCTACATCTTTTATTAATGACTTGCTATTTCAGTATTTATATTCTTAATATTACTTTAAGGATAACTTTCTTTACTTTATGGGGATTGCTTATATGACCATTTGTAGTTGGTTGTGTTTTTTATTTTGATTTTATATTTTCTCTATGTTTACCATGACTCTTCTGTTCTAGGTGGGTATTATGGGATATCATCGTATGATTCTCTCTGTATCTAACACCTACATGCAAAATGGTGTCATACAATGTTTAGCATAATTTTGGCATACCAATGGTACCCCACAAGATAAAGTAATATAGAGTTTGGGCTTAGACCCAAGCCAAATGCAGAACAACAACACAGCCCAATAGAAGCTAAACTGGTGTCTTAAATGGTTAAACATGCATTCCAACCACTATCCTTTTTATACATTGGAACCCCCCCATAACCCCCTATAACATTTCCCCCCCCCCCCCCCTGCCCCCCCTGAGGAACACTTTGAGCTTTCACCTTTAACCACCCTTAGTACCAAGAGTTAAACACTGGAACAATCAAGAAATTTATTAAATATGGAATGGCACTAAATTGCAAATTTGGACATGGGATCAACACCATTATGTTCAAGGCAATCTCTACATTTCATAAATATGTCAAATTACTTAAACTAGACACTTTTTATAAATAGCTATTAGAATTGGAACAAAACTAATACAAAGGGCGTATGATAAACTATCATATAGTGATATTGACGGACTAAACTTAATATGCAAAGGTTCTTGCCAAGCTAGTGCAAGACAAAACAAAAGAGAACTAACAAGCTAAGCCAAGTATGCTTGGCTAAATAGACACTTAGAAATTCCTTCCTTATGCTCTTCCGGCTAAGTACAAATACTAAGTCCAATTTATTAATATTTGGACAAAAGGGGTTGATAAAAGAAATCAGTAGTACCAACTTCTTGCCATCATAGTAGTAAGGAGACAGTGTCCATAAAGACTAGCCAATAAATATCTTTTGATACCCAAAATCACATTCATGACAGAAGTTATGTAAATTTTTTTATTGTCCAAAAATGCAATATAATGTTATTCAATATGTGCATAACTACGTTTAATGCCAAGTTTATAATACTCCCCCTTATTGTGGCAAGGAACTAGATTGCTCAACTTATAATCTTTGTGAGAAAAAGATCAATGTTTACAATCACACTTGAGGCATTACTAATGCGGACACCATAATGTTGACAGTGGGGTTTAGGACATGTTTTCTAGTCATCACACAGCAGCTCCATGGAACAATTGGGAGAAGCAAGACTTGTGACAGCTTTCAGTCTTTCAACCCTGGGAGAGCAAGTAGTCTATAAGGCTTTTTTGTAATGATTGTGTGGAGCTCTATGTTTAGATTTGGAGAAATCTTTTTGTTGCTCACTACACCTGGGCCACATCATCAAGCCCAAATGCCATTGGTGAAATGACCATGAAGGCCAAAGGCATAGCATGTAGCTTTAGAAATACTATGAACTCTCTGGAAAGACAACTCTTTTGATTTACTCTCTGTGATATGAGCTCTTGACCCTTCTAATATTGCTAGTATATGCTATGCTAAATTGCGTGATAAGCACTCCCTTCATCAAAGTCCAAGCCCATACCCGATCAACAAACATGATCCTTTGGCATTTTTTGGTTCCAGAGCTAAAAAAAATAAGAAAAAATGTTTGTAGATAATGTTTTACCAAAAAGGATTTCCATATCTAAGATCCAGAAGAGTATGGTTATATTTTGTTCCTTCCAGCAACTTGGAGATCACAAGCCCGAGGACAATCCACTCGGGAGCGAGGTGGAAAAGATGAAAAGGGCCCGATGAAAACGGCGTTTCATGCGCAGGATTACTGGCGCCCAATGGGTGATCAACCTGGTGCGCTTCTGCGCCTCGAGGAAGGATCTAGCAGAGGCGAGGCGGATCCACGCCCAGATCCTCGACAGCGATCCACTGCGGCGGGACAAGCGCGTGGCCGATCAGCTGGTGCTCATGTACAGCAAATGCGGCAGCCTGGAGGAGGCTTGCGATGTGTTCCACACTATGATCGAGCTGCCGGATCTCTACAGTTGGAACGTCTTGGCTCTAGCTTATGCCCACCACGGGCACGCCGCGGGAGCCAAGGCCACTTTCGATCAAATGCCCCAGAGAAACCACGTATCGTGGCATTCGATCATCTCGGCTCACAGCATTCTCGGCCAGGCCGAGGAGGCCAAGCGCGTTCTTGACAGGATGCCGGCAGCGGATCTTCTCTCGTGGAACATCGTCATCGCTGTGTTTGCCCAGAAGCGGTATTTGTATGGGACGAAGCAAACGTTTGATTTGATGCCTGTTCTTGACATTGTCTCTTGGAATTGCCTTTTCACCACCTTTGCGCACAAAGGTGGGATTGATCAAACTTGCGAGTGCTTTTTTCTAATGCCGCAGTGGGATGCGGTGGCTTCAACTGCGATGGTCCAAGCATATGCCCAGTTCGGGCATATGGAGGAATCCAAAGCCGTGTTTGATCAGTCCATGGATCGAGGAGCTGTCTTGTGGACAATCCTTCTCGTGGCATACACTCACGAAAATCTCATTGCCGAGGCAAGCGAGATCTTTGATCGGATGCCTGCGAGAGACGTGGTGGTGTGGACAGCGATTGTGTCGGCTCTGGGACAGAACGGCGAGTTCGATCGAGCGGCGGCGCTGTTCCACGCCATGCCGGAGAGAAACATCATCTCCTGGAACACGATGCTAGCCGCGAGCGCGATCAACAGGAGCGCGGAGGAGACCACGGCCATGTTTGAGGCACTGGACGAGCGAAACTTGGTGTCATGGAACATCCTGCTCGATTCCTATGCACGGAATGGCGCGCTGGATCGAGCCATGCACGCGTTTGATCTCATGCCGGCGTGGGAGAGCGTCGCTTGGAACACACTCATCGCTGGGTTGGGTCTGCGATTGCGGATCTCGGAGGCAAAGTCAATGTTTGATCGAATGCCCGCAACGAAGAACATCATCTCGTGGACGTCGATGATCCAGGGATTCGTCGAGACAGGCAGGGTGGATGATGTTAAAGAGTTTTTCGATCTCATGCCTGGATGGGATCCAGCGTCTTGGAACTTGGTTCTCCAGGCGTATGCCCGGAGCGGGCATACCGAGAGCGTCAAGAGCGTGTTCCAGGAGATGCCCGAGAAATCTCTCCTCGCCCACGTCTTCCTCATCGCGGCATTCGCCCAGGGAGGCCAGATCGCGGAGGCCAAGAGCGCGTTCGAGCGGATGATCCGGCTGGACATCACGGCCTGGAACACGATCATCGCTGCCTACTGCGGAGATCACGATCCAGGCTTGAACAACGCGCGCAGGGGATTCGATCGGGCTCCCAAGCGCGACATCGTGTCGTGGAACACGATCATCAGTGGCTACGTCCAGCGCGAGAATCTGGAGGAGGCCAAGCTCCTGTTTGATTCCATGCCCGAGAAGAACAGAGTCTCTTGCAACGCGATGCTGGCTGGCTACTCCAATCGATGCCTCGCGGACGAGGCCGCGGATCTCTTCCACTCCATGACCCAATCCGCGATCACGCAGCCGGATCGGCTGTCCCTCACGGCGATGATCAACGTCTACTCCAAGACCGGGCAGCTCCAGCGAGCGCGGGATCTCTTCTCCAGCATCGCCAATCCGGACGTGACGCTCTGGAACGCGATGATCGCCGGCCACTCCAACAGCGGCGATCTGGATCACGGCATCCAGCTGCTGCGCTCGATGTGGATCGCGGGAGTGGATCCCGACGGCGTGACGCTCCTCACCGTCCTCGCGACTTGCGCACAAAAGGGTCTGATCGATGAGAGCTGCCACCACTTCCAGTCGCTGCTCACGGATCACGGCGTCCGGGCGGAGCGATCACACTTCTCGTGCATGGTGGATCTCCTGGCGCGGATTGGCCGGCTGGGCGACGCGATCGATCTGGCGATGAGCATGCCGTTCGTCCCGGACGAAGTGGAGCTCGCATCTTTGCTCAGTGCTTGCGGTTTACATCGTGACGCCGACCAGGCCGCACGGGCAGCCATGGATTTGGGGAGCGTATCTCCCACGCGATCCTCGCCGTACGTGCTCCTCTCCAATGCTTTTGTACAGGAGGTAACGCCGTTCTTGGCACCAGGTAATTACGCTACACTATAGCTGACGCAAATGGCTTTCGAGTTCATCTCCATATACCCAAACTGGGCATACTTCTATATCGAAAGGTTGCATGGCTGAGTTTTTGTGATATTCCATTTACTTGCAGCGCCAGCTTGATTGAAGCTGCCAACCTCTTGGAGAATGTGTATGAAGAATTATCTGTTCACTGACACATTTTTCTCTTGTGAAGTGGGCAAAGTGTGGCTTCTTATTATTTTGATCCAAAACTTCTACCTGTGCATTCAATCTTGTGTGACACTTTTTGATACGTTCTAGATGGTAAAAGCAGGGAGAAAGCCCATTATTCAAGTGATGGTCAGGATGTTTAAAATTCTGTGCGGCAAGCAGGCTTTACATGGAGAGCTTGGGTGGCTGCTACGGATCTCCTCCAGGAATCGGACGAGTGAAAGGCTGAGCGAAGGCTGGGCTTTTACGTAAGGTGCCTTTCTGGTATATCTTCATCTGCTTTTCAAGTCGATCAATCACTCAAACTTGATTCAAGATGCAGGAAAAGCTGGGGAAAAGCTACAGAAAAATGCGGCTTGGGTCCTAGAATGAATAAAGCACTGATCTGATCGCTTCTCCAGCGTCACCGAATCTACTCCAACGAAGTGGAGCTCGCATCTTTGCTAAGTGCGTGTCGTGGGCCGGGCACCGTATCACGCGATCGTCAAATGCCTTTCGTACAAGAGGTGAGACAACGAGAGAAAGAACTTAAAGCAACATGGCTTTCGGTGGACCTTCAATGTAGAAAGTAGATCACAAATGGGCATATCCAAGCTTGATGATTCCCACATTGTCCTCTGGAATTCATAGCGCATCTTTGCTTGGGGTGATCTCAAGACTTTAGGGTTCTTGCTTAACTTGCAAGAGTGTTTTGGAGGGCTAAGCTAAGTACATTGAACCTATCGCCGACCGGATTATCAGCCGGCATCATTGTATATACGATAAAGTCTCCTGGCTAACAAGCCCTTGTCTCCTTTCTAATGTCTTTCCTTACGTGCAATTGATTGCGCAGGCGATTCAGTCGCGCCTCAAGGTTGACGGACGAAGACGATTCGGTTCGCAGCTCTGGCATTGGTGGTGGCACACTTGTTTTTTGTTTATGGGCGCCATTGGATGCCCTCCCGGCGCGAGATATTCCACGCCAAAGGCGCTGGCTTTGAGACTAATCTGGCCCATTTACAATACAATATTGGAGACAGCACATGACTAAGCGGGTCATGAGAGCTCAATCATAGGCGCGCGCCAGAGGGATTTGGATTGATCAAACCAAAAAATTGGCCAGCTTCTCGCCCATAAGCCCTAAATTATGAGCTTTCGTTGTATGTTGCATGGGGACGTCCCCATCAGGCCCCTGTCAGGCGGCCCATTTAAGGCCAAAGCCAGTGGAAAATAAATGGCGGCCAAAGGAGAGAAAGGAAAGATGCCATGCCAAAGGCTTTGCCACGTCTTTAAGGACAGGTCCTTGCCAAGGACACATAAAAGGACACACCAGTGGCGCCAGCTTGCCTGTTGGCGCAAGGCAAGGACCACCCGTGCGCATTTACACCGGGGGGGTTAAGGACACAACGCCCCCCCCGGATGATGCCCAACGCTGGCTACTATCGTTGTTACCTGGCCGCTAAAAAGGCGGGGCCACCGGCCGGAGCCACTTTCCGACAGGCTCTTTCATGGAAGTGGTCAGTCCGTACGGGCTCCGTAGGCTGAGGCCGACCGTCGGATGGATCGGAATCGGCGGTGAGAGAATTAATGAACGGACGGCGGATTGGTTGTTACACGTGGTTTTCCAGTCCAGCAGGGCCGTCCGATTACGACACTGGAGCGTGGTCCTTTATTTCTTTGAGGTTTTTGGCGGAGGCCGGATTGTTGGCGCTACCAAGAACCCTGATCCAGGGAGCGCGAAATCTCTCTCGGCGGCATCAATGAGAGTGTGATTCCAGGTATGAATCGCGCGGCGCTCGCGACGCGCCAGCGATCTTTCCCCTCCTCTGCTCTTCGTCCTGCCTGGCCCGCGCGAAATTCAATCTCCCGGCCATTGATTGCGAGTCTTGCGCGGGATTCGTGTCTCCATTCCGAGCCAGCGCCTACTTGCATTCCGCTCAATCCCTCCATCAAAGCCCTCCCCTATCCACATCGCCAGGAATTTGGTCTGAATTTCTTGCTGACCGCAGGTAACGCGAGAGCTTCCACATTCCGGGAGCTGATCGGCCATGCCAAGGAGGAGAAAGACGCCCAGAGAGGATGAGAAAGGATCTTCTCCACCTTCGTCGAGCGGAGCTTCTCCACAGCCGCCGCCCCGTGCCGCCGCAAGCTCCAGCTCAAGCTCCACTCCGCCACCGCAAGCTTCACAAGGGGCTTTAGCCATGGCCAGGCATCCACAATACTCGCAGCATTACCAAGTAGGAGGAACTAGTGGTGGAAGGAGTGGAGGTCAGTATAGTCAATCACGTAGTGGCCGTGGAGGAGGAGGAACGGGAGGATATCATGGGCAGCAGCAGCCACAGCAGCAGCAACAGCCGCGACAAGCTCCAGCAGTGAGCGCCGTGGTAGAGCAATTTTCTGGATTGGGTGTGGAAGGTCCAGTTGCTGCGCAACCAGCGCCACCGCAGCCGAGCGTCGTAGCTCCTCCAGCGTCTAGCAAGGCCTTGAGATTTCCGCTGAGGCCCGGACGCGGCCAAACGGGGGTTAAGTGCATTGTCAAGGTGAATCATTTCTTTGCAGAGCTACCAGACAAGGATCTACACCACTATGATGTAAGTTTCTTCTTGTCACGAGCTAGTGTTTGCATCCAATTGGCTTGTTTTGCTTGCGCAGGTGACGATCACTCCCGAGGTGACATCGCGTGGTGTGAATCGAGCGGTCATGGAGCAGCTGGTTAAGCTTCACAGGGATTCGAGTTTGGGTCACAGGCTCCCAGTGTATGATGGCCGGAAAAGCCTGTACACTGCTGGGCCTTTGCCCTTCCATTATAAGGACTTTCAGGTAAGTCTGCCGGAGGAAGATGATGGATGTGGTACACCGAGGTGAGTGTAGCTTAGCTTTTCTTTTCTTTTACAGCATACTGAAGAAAAGCATAAAATATCTTTCAGGAGAGATCGGCAGTTCAAGGTGGTCATCAAGTTCGCTGCTCGTGCTGATCTGCATCATCTTGGCCAGTTTCTGGCCGGGAGGCAAGCAGATGCTCCTCAAGAGGCCTTGCAAGTGCTGGACATAGTGCTGCGAGAGCTTCCTACCCATAGGTTCGCTCCTCTTTTCTTTGGTATCGGGTTTTTATGTGTTTCTTTTGAGTTCTTCCAGGTATTCGCCTGTTGGACGATCGTTTTATTCACCAGACTTAGGACGTAGACAACCCCTCGGTGACGGCTTAGAAAGCTGGCGAGGGTTCTACCAGAGTATAAGGCCCACGCAAATGGGTCTTTCTCTGAATATTGGTAAGGATTATGAAATGTGATGGTATGTGTTCTGATCTATTGTTGAAGACATGTCATCTACTGCTTTCATTGAGCCGCTGCCCGTGGTGGACTTTGTTGGCAAACTCCTTAACAAGGACATAAGCAGGCCACTTTCGGACGCTGACCGCATCAAGGTAAAGTCCCAGCTTGGTTTGCGAAGAGCGATTTTAAGCTAGATCTGATTTTCTGTGCCAGATCAAAAAAGCTCTGAGAGGGGTCAAAGTGGAAGTTACACATCGCGGAACCATGCGACGAAAATACAGGATTTCTGGCTTAACTTCTCAGCCTACTCAAGAACTAATGTAAGTGTTTCTGATTGTTTGTGATGTGTCTTATTTTGTGTTTGCAGGTTTCCTGTTGATGATAGAGGTACAATGAAATCGGTAATGGAGTATTTCCGAGATACATATCACTACACTATACGAAGCCCATCTTTACCTTGTTTGCAAGTTGGAAATCAAGAAAGACCAAATTATCTGCCAATGGAGGTGTGCAGTTTTCGTAGGCATGCAACGGACTAAGTTCATTTTTGGCTGATTAACAGGTCTGCAAGATTGTGGAAGGACAAAGGTATACTAAACGTCTCAACGAGCGTCAAGTGACAGCCCTTCTAAAAGTAACATGCCAACGGCCCAGGGAAAGAGAACTCGATATTTTGCAAGTAGGATAAGAATCTTTTCCCGTTTTTGTCTCTATTTTTATTTAACTGTTCTTATGTTTTGTGCTAGACTGTTTATCATAATGCATATAATCAAGACCCATACGCCCAGGAGTTTGGGATACGTATCAGTGACAGACTGGCTCTCGTGGAAGCTAGAATACTGCCTGCCCCATGGGTTTGTGTTTCTTCTCTTTTGTTGTCATACAATGTTCTTTAAAAATGCGGGTTTGCAGCTGAAATATCATGAAACGGGTAGAGAAAAGGATTGCTTGCCTCAAGACGGGACCTGGAATATGATGAACAAGGTAAGCGTGCTTGGAAGAAAACTGTTCTTTTTTAATTCATATGTCTCCAGAAAATGGTCGATGGAGGGACAGTGAACTACTGGGCATGCGTCAATTTCTCTCGTACTGTTCAAGATAATATAGCTCGGGGATTTTGTAACGACCTTGCTCAGATGTGTCTTATTTCCGGAATGGTACGGCTTAAAGAATGATCTTCAGTACTAATCGTATATGACATGCAGGCGTTTGCTGCTGAACCTATCATTCCAGTTCATGCTGCACGCCCAGACCAGGTAGAACGTGCTCTGAAGTCGGTATATCGTGAAGTTCAAAGCAAGGTCAAAGGAAAGGAATTAGAGTTACTAATTGCCATATTACCCGACAACAATGGCTCACTTTATGGTAAGAGACTTGGTTTTTTACAGATTTGCTGATAAGTTTTATTCCAGGCGACTTGAAACGAATCTGCGAAACAGACCTGGGATTGGTTTCTCAATGCTGCTTGACAAAGCATGTCTTTAAGAGAGGAAAGCAGTATCTTGCTAATGTTGCGTTGAAAATCAATGTCAAGGTAGGGCGCTTCATGCACGATGTTCGTGAATAAGCTCAACAAGTTTGTTGTAAGGTCGGAGGCAGAAACACTGTCTTGGTGGATGCACTATCACGGAGGCTTCCTTTAGTAAGTGATACACCAACAATTATATTTGGAGCGGATGTTACGCATCCTCATCCTGGAGAAGATTCGAGTCCCTCGATTGCAGCGGTAAGTGTACGATTTTTCTTTTCGTGTGTCTCTCAATAAGCTGCCTGTTACAGGTTGTCGCTTCTCAGGATTGGCCAGAAGTAACGAAATACGCAGGTCTAGTCTGCGCTCAAGCTCACAGACAAGAGTTGATCCAAGATTTGTATAAAACATGGGTTGATCCTCAGAAGGGAACCATGAATGGCGGTATGATAAGGTTAGTAGCGGTGAGTTTTTTGTTTTACTTATTGTGCTAACATACGCAAACTTTAGAGAGCTTTTAATTTCTTTCCGAAGTGCCTCTGGATACAAACCTGGAAGAATCATCTTCTACAGAGATGGTGTGAGCGAAGGACAGTTCTACCAAGTTCTCCTTCACGAGCTGGATGCAATTAGAAAGGTATAGTATGGAAAGACTTGGCACATTGACTGATTCAGCTCTTCGTTTTGGACAGGCTTGCGCGTCACTCGAGCCGAACTATCAGCCTCTCGTGACGTTCGTTGTGGTCCAGAAACGGCACCACACCCGACTATTTGCTAACGATCACGACGATACAAGAACTACTGATAAGAGTGGAAATATCCTGCCAGGTGCTGTTGCCGTTTATAAGTGGCGAATTTAGATAACTAATGAGAGACCGTTTTCCTTCACAGGCACTGTGGTGGATTCGAAGATTTGCCATCCAACGGAGTTTGACTTCTACCTTTGCAGCCATGCCGGCATTCAGGTAACATGATGGCACCCTGGCCTTTGTAGCTTTGCTCATACGACGAGACTATGTTACAGGGAACAAGCAGACCAGCTCACTATCACGTACTTTGGGACGAGAACAAGTTCACTGCCGATGGCTTGCAGTCCCTCACCAACAGCCTGTGCTACACTTACGCTCGCTGCACACGCTCAGTCTCGATAGGTAAAGACCATAGCTCTTTCCCATAGGCTTTGACAACTAAAGCACAAAGCAATCGTCCTTTTCTTTCAGTACCACCTGCATACTACGCTCACCTGGCTGCGTTCCGCGCG